TTTAGGTACATGTGCTTCAGAAAACGTTTAGAGGACATAGATGAGTGGAATCTAATAAGTGTAGTTTATATTACTCTACAGAAACACCACAGTTTGTTTTTTTTTTCTTTTTAACATTATGTTGGTTAGTGGTTGTGCCGTTATTGACACGTCACTCACAGGAAGGAAGCAAAAATTGCACTCATCTCACTTCAAAATCATCTTGCTTTTATGCGTATATTAAATGCAGATAACCGTTGCCGACATATCGGCGCCAGAAATCTTCTTCCTCCCCTTCATTTAAATTAGAAATATAGCAAAAAGGTTTTTTTTTTTTTTTTTTGCTGTTTTGAGAACTTTGCTTACAACCATTGAGATCCAGTTCTACCAAAAGAAATTAGTAAACGTTGCAACAAATTTTTAAGTACAAACGTTTGGTGCACAGTGAGCTTCTATAATTGCTTTGAGCATCTTATGTCATTTAATGAGGTCACCAAACACACAGCTAAGCTATTCAGCTGTGTGATTATATAGTGATAGTGGTGTATGTGAGGGTATACAAGTCGTCATAGTGTTTGTCGTAAATAAATTGAAACTAGTATGTATTTTCTGAATACTTATGTAAGATACGGAGCACAGATATATGCACTGGAGAATAAGGTCAGCTGCTAGTTTACAAGAGATTGCCGCATACTAAGCACTAATGAGTGACTCCGTTTGGATTCATCTTCTGAGGAAACTTACAATTTACCAGCAATCATTTAACACTTGTGCAGTGAGATGCTTTGTATGCTCCTGTTTAAAAGTATAAATATATATAGGTATATATATATATATATACATCTGTAGTGACAGTAAGACTGTACAGGCTATGTTTGTAGTGAGTTTTGTGATTGTGCAATTACCCATTTATTGTAAACCAATGGAAAAGGTGAAGGGACTCTGGCAACTGCACTAATGTGTTCCTACTCACAAACCTACAGGTGCATCTTGATATATTAGAATGTTATTGTAGAGTTAATGCATAGTAGAAGCACAGAAACGATTCATTTTCCATGAATTACAGCATCAGTCCAGTGTAGTTTGGAAGAGGTCAGCTTTGGCTGCTGAGGTTTTGAGGAATCAAACAAAATGTGACTGCGTGGTATTTAAAGCGTGCATTCATATTTTGGCTATCTGGGCAGGCATCACCTCCTTTAGGAAAATAAAATCAGCATCTACATGAAACTTGGCAAGCAGGCTGAAGCAGGAAGTGCTCTAATGTTTCCAGCCATGTAGCAACACCAGCAGATGACGTGCCTCTCCGCTCTTCTTCCAGACTCTGGGGCTTAGATTTCCACAATGAATGCAAAACTTACTTTAATCTGAAATGTGGACTTTGTATCACCGAGCTAAACTCCCATCCTTAGCTCAGGTGAGAGGTTTCTAACGTTGCCTCCAGTTCAAGGAATAGTTAAATATTACAGCTGTTGTCCATTTCCTGATACATTGCTGTACACTATTAGCTTTAAGAGCTAATAGCATACTATTAGCTCTTAAAGCTAATAGTACACTAACTAATACAATGAATGGCCTTAACTTTACATCTCTGACAAAACCATGGATGTCCTTGCTGCTCGTTGACTTTTTTCTTCCACTCAACTTTCTCTTAATATGCTTTGATACAACACTCCGAACATCCAGTTTCATCAGCACTTCTGTTTTATGGTTTATCCTCGTTGTGGCACATGTGAGTGGCGTCGACCACAACGCGTACATCTCTGTGCTTCAAGTCCTTCTGTGTTACTCGGCTTTTATTAGAAACTGATTTTTGGGTTTGCATTCGCTCATAATAGCCAACTTAATGCACATCACTCTGAATTGATATCATTTTTCCAGAGTTTTATTTTATTTTATTTTTTACTGAATTACAGAAACTGATATAAATGAGATTCTGGAGATGCATCTCTAGGTAATTGTTTGTATATTCTGGGGATTTAATGGTTCTTAGCACTCAAAAGTCACCAGAATGCAGATTCTGTGCGTTTTAATGCAATTATGACATGCTTCGTCCATGACTACAGTCATGAGTCTCTTCCCTTTTAAATGCTTGAATCAAACACATGATTGTGAAGGTGGGAGACGGGCCAGCAGTGCTCTGTGATAAAAGCTTGTTGCTGCAGCAGTGTGGATGTGTTGCTGTGTGTCGTTTTCCTATTGAGGGTGATGCTGCACTACATTATAGCCTTTGCTGTGCTACCTTCTGGACCTGAGTGTATTTCTGTTGCTCTTTAAAACCCACTTTTTACAGCGTGCATTGAATGTGTGTTTATGTTGTTTATTGAATGACGCTCGTGAGGCGGCTAAACAATAATTCTGCAAACTTTGCTCATCACTAAGGATTTTCTGCAACTCTTAGCTTAACAGGAATAGAACAAACAGTTTGATTCATCTCAGCCTTTGACTGTACCGTTATAACCTGAAGCATCCAAAGACAAGGCGGCTAAGAATCTCTTGATGCAGCTTTTTCTCTGCTTTATTGTGTAGACTTTCTCATGCAATGCATTTATTTGTACATGTGGCCCTCAGTCTGCGCAGTGCTGCATTTTACACCAAACTGTGTAAGAAAATCCCAAAGCACCGTCAGGAGTGCAAAGTTACTGAACTAGTTATGTATAAATCCCAATATATTTTAGTTGTCATTTACTTTAACTCTCCAAAAACACTTTTGAACACTTGACACTGACCCTGATTTTCACCTCTGTTTTGCATGCTTTGACTGCTGGAAGCACAAATGTAAGGACAATCCCTTTTTCTTGTTACACTCCATGAATGTGATTGGTTTTCTGTTATGTACATTTAGACCTGTCAGTATTGGTGCACAGTATTTTTCTCTCTCAGTTTTGTATCGTTCGAAAATGTTTCCTTGATGTAAGATGTATTTTACCGAGAGCAATAAAAACACGTGTTGCAGATGTTGGAACCAGAGTGAATGTGTAATTGTGATGAAGGACAAGGAGCTAAAGCAAAGAAGCAAATGCAGTTTCTAGGCATATTTGCATTCGACTGAAAACTCCAGAGCTTTTCATCGTTTTTAATAAACCGAGATATTTTTACAGCAATCAGCATAGAAACTAGAAAAGAAATGGCAGTGCACCTAAATGCACCTTGAAAAGACTTAAGACTCGTGCGGTCTTATCAGGTCTCATCACTGATAAGGCCTGATTTTGCGAGGTTGGATTTTTTTTTTTTTTTTTTGGTCAGAGATTGAAGATTGATATTAACTTTATCAGTTACTGATATAACTGCTCTCAAGCCTATAGAGTCATTTACAAACCTAGTTTAAAGTAACATATCACTGTCAAATGATTTAAAGATATGAACTGAGTTTTAAATAATCCATGCATGTTGTGTACGGAAGTTTAAATAAACCTGCACCTGCAGTCATAAAGTAAATCCAGTGTTTGGATCTGCTCCAGGTACCAGCAGTGGTTTGATTTATTGGGTTCCTCCTTTTTTTTTTTGTTAATTTCCTGCAAAATATTATGCACTCTCCCTATCAACAAATGTTTAAGCCACACCTTGCGCACAAAAATAAAATGCACTTTATACCATGCATATAATGTTACTTCATCATTTGACTCTTGTATGCATGAGTATATTGCGAATGTTACCTGGAAATGGAAATTAGCCATCTTGCTTACTCCAGCATGTTTACATTTGCGCCGATTAAGTCATCTATTAACTTTTACATAACATTAAGTTAGGAAAGGGGAACAGCTTTCTACGCTCTGTTTTCATTCAGAGTGTGGAATAAAAACAGAGTCCGGACATTTTGGCAAAATATTATACACCTGGCAAAAGGAATATTGGTGAGGATGTTAGAAAGTAAATCCTTTCTGAAGTTAATCGTTTCAATATATCAAGAGATTTGACATTTCAGTTAAACTTGTATAAAGTTTTCAACATAAATTTGGAAACGTGCTTATTCCTTAAACATCAGATTTTCTGCTAGAGTGGCTGTGTATCGTTTTCTCTTCCACTTCACTGTGTTGTTCTATTGCATAAAATACCAATGCAACATAACAAAATGTTAACATAAGAGGTTAGAATATTGTTACAAAGCACTGTTGCTGGGGTTTTGACATTTTATTATGCAATCCTAAAGTATGCAAATATAAATTGTACATTTTGAATTAAAATAAGTTTTAAATAGGTATAATGAACATTAACCAAGAGGAATGCATGAGCTATTTTTGTTTGTTTTATTTTTATGTTACGGTTCACTAGAAGTACAGAAGAGCATATAAACAAGTTTTTCCCCAAGACCTTTTAAAACAGGATTTTCTATGTTGAAATATTTCAAGAAAAAAAATGTCCCAATGACAGATGCAGCACAATCAAAGAAAAAAAAACAAAGTTTGTGATTTTGCTGCAGTAAAATGAACACACAAGGGCACCTGGGGTAGAGTGATGATTTATTCATCTACAGGTTGGAAGCACGTGTCCAGGTACAAACAGTACACTCCTCGGTCATGCACTAAAACACACTCGTACAAGTGAAATAAAACCTGCCTGAAGCGCCTCAAACTCTCCCCAGCATGATGACAGCAGCTGAACCTGGGTGTGTGTGTGCGTGTGTGTGGAGGGGGCATCAAACCTGCTCCTCTCTGCACCGAGTTTAGAGTCAGGTTGTCATTATTTCACACACACACACACACACCAGACACTGCCATCTCCAATCACCGAGGATGTTCCAGGTGCTGGACGAGGACGGACAAAATTAAGCTTTAACATGTTAAAGACATGAAAAATGTACCAGTTACATATGACGGACTGATAATTCAATATCACACTTCGATATGACATCAAGCCTTTGGATTGGAATAAGTAGTTTGGATCTTTTTCGAGCGATGCTTCGTTTTATAATCGCTCTACCTGAATCTTAATGTGTCTGAAAGATTATCTATAATTAGAAAAAAAAAACATATCTGTAGTAAACATTCATTCTGTCCTGTGCCTTAAGATTCAATTTCATACCCAACAGCAAATTACTTGGAGGTATATTGCCATATTAGTCAACGTAAACCACAACTCAAAGTAAAATTATTTGTTCATTTTAGCTCAGATCTAAATCAACGTTCTATTTCGCTGAAACAATTTTCTGCGCAGCCTTCAGGACGTCCGCTATGTCCACCTTGTCGCCAAACTGCTTCTCTTTGTGCTCCAGGAGGATTCCCTGCAAAACACCAAACACGGTTCAAATGAAGGGTTTTTTTGTTTTTAAGCCGCGTGATAATAATCTGCGCTGCTCAGGTGACGGACAGATTACCTGATCTCCTGGTCCGATGACAAACACTCCTCCCAAGATGAAGCCTTCGCCCTGCATGTTACCTTGGTAACCGGACCTCCAGGCCCGAATAAAGTTCTGCCACACCCCAAGGCGGATGAAGCCTAGCCCTCCCATCTTTCTCTGCAGTGGTCCATAGAAATGTTTCTACAATCAAATTGAGTTCTGGTTAGCGCCTTGAAAAGAATTCACGCCGACATTTCATCACCTTTCAACAACAACAAGCTTCACCTTTCAGCTTGACACAGACCTTAAACATTCAGTCAGGGCTACAGTAGAAACTGAGGTTCAGAAAGTCTCCTAATATGACATTGATCTTGGGAACATTTATCAAAAATTATATTGTCGTACTGTGCTCAGGTCGGTATAAATTCAAGTACGCGAGAGGCTGTACAGTCAAAACATTAAGATTCCAGCTGCTCACCATCTCATCTATGTAGATGTCCCCGGCGAAGTGCGGTCTGAAGTCCTGGATCTCTGAGCCGACGTTCTCTTTCACCACGGCAACCAGAGGGACCCCGAGCTCTTCCAGCTGGGGCTTCAGAGAGGACAGCTCAGAGGCTTCCTATGGATAGAAGAACATGAAGTCATGAGGGGAATTTAAACTATTAATCTATGCAAGCATTCAAACGTCAAGTCAGGCACTACCTCTCTGCACAAAAATCATCCAGGCCGCCGTACGGCCATGACCACCGCGCCGTTCTTCTCCCACAGGCTCTTCGCTTTTATAACCTTTCCATCTACAGTCAGAAAAAAAGACTCTTTACCTCAGCCTTACATCTTAGTTTACATGGATATATTGAATATGTGTGGACTAGAGGAAAAAATGAACTAGAAACAAATATAGGAGGCTAATGGTTTGGTTAAAAATTTAAAACTAAGTTTTCATCTTTCCATCCTGAGCACGAAAAAATAAAAAATGTTCAAATACGTCATTAGAGCCCCAAAGTTACTCTGCATTTATTCACACTTATGACTGCATATTGTAGTGATTATTAAAACATGTTAATGTCGTGTTAAAATGGCACAACCCCAGTAGATTGCAAACATAAAACCTTTAACAACTACACAAGTGATTCTGCTTCTGACTGAAGCCTAAACGTCTTTCTGACTGTCTCAACGACGGATCTGCATCATCAGCTTTTATTAGAGATCAGCCTACCATCTGTGGTGGAACGCAGATCGGCGTCTTCGAGGTGCTCCAGCGATGCGCTGGCACCTTTAGGAAGACACATGTCAGTGTTGGCCAGGAAGATCCCGGCCAGGGCCGCTCCGACAGCGCCGATGCCCAGGGACCACATCCCCATCTCGGTCAGGGCCCCCTCCAAACCAGACACTGCAGCAAAACACGGCAAAACCATCGTGAGAGAGACAGAAGACACCTCTCCTGCTCCCTCTTAAATACGACTCAACTAACTAAAAGAGGCTGGACTTAAAAATTCTGGGGGTTTTTTTGTTTTTTTTTTGTTGTTTTTTCTTTGCGGTTGTTTCTGTTCCGATGTGTCCCTGCAGAGAAAGTTTATCTTTTCTGTAAAGGAGAAGCTAAAGCTTTCTGAGGCTGAGTGATCAACAAGATCAGGCATGCTCACTCATCGTCTTCTTCCTTGTATTTTCAGAGTGTGATTGAGATCCTTCCCGCCAGCAATATCTCGTTGTGCTCTAATCTAAATCTCACTTATGAGATTAGGAAGCTCAGCTACACATCAGATCCTTCCGACAGTGGCTGCTGTTTGTCGAAAAACCGCTTAAAGGCAGCCAACAATAAACTTTACTTTGCATGGACTGAAATGTACCCATTTTAAAATGACCTACCATATAATTATACAATTAAATGCAGATATTCGTTCTCCAGTTGCACCGACCTAATCTGATTTTCTTTGCAATGGCTTCTTAACTACACCAGCAGAAAGTCAGTAAAGCGTGAGCGCTTTCATTTTAAGGTCACCGTTCACATCACAATGATTACTACTCTTAATAAAACAAAGAAATAAAAATTAGCATCAATCTAAATAACATCTGTTTTGGCTAAAACAACTCCTCCAGACTACAAAGTAGGACAACACTGGGGAATAATTAACGCCCAACAACATAACCACAGAGAACAGCTAATTGGTGCAGGAGTCAAATATGTTCTTGCCTGAGGTGATCTTGTTTGGATCAGGACTTGCTCTGGCTTCGCTTTGGTGAAACTGAGCAGTCTGGCTCTTTAGAAACTGAGGGCCGGCTGCGACGGAGCGGCTCGCCAGACGGACGGCAGAGCAACACAGGGGAAGCCTCCAGCTCAAAGCCGCTGAACATCTGGACAGAGCCAGCATGGTGGTAAAAGTCTGAGCCTCTTACTACACACTCACACACCCTCAAGATTTCACTGGAAGACACAGAAAACAAGACTTTTTTTTTTTCAAAGCAGCTAAGTCTCTGCTGAGGCTCAACTTCAAGGTAAATTCATGAGACTGGGTTGGAAGACTAAGAAGAAGAAAAAGAATTTCACACCTCAAAACTGTTGAGAGTTGTTGCATTTTTTTTTTTTTTTTTTTTTTTTAAAACTCTAAACAGAATTAGTGGGGGATGTTATCTTGATGCAAGTAAAATGCAAATGTCCTCCGTCTGCGAGTGCGCTTCCTTTTACATTCTAACCTCATGCATCGACATGAAGTGCGCAGAAACACAAAAGAATAAGATGCTGCAATCATATCTAAAACCATGTTAGAATAAATTATGACACAAGTCTGGCTCCTTTATCTAAACAGCTTTGAAATAAGAAGCTCACTAACTCATCTCTGCAGTCAAGTGGAGAAAAAAAAAAATCCTCTCTTACTTCTGCTTCAGCTCGTCCGGTGTGAAACTTAAAGTAACTGAAAATGCATCGAAGTCACTGGGCTTTATAGCACAGGGGACAAAGGAGGAGAAAAGCTCACCAGCCAATAGAGATGCTAGCCAAACAAGGAAGAGTTTGAAGACTTGTTAACAAAAAGAAAGCATTTAGTGCTACATGCATTGCATTGTCACACAACACTGAACACAGCTACACTGTATTCAGCCTATGCCAACACACCTCCAAGATCCAAACCTCCACTAAAACGTTCTTCCATGCCAAAACCATTTATTTATTTACTTCTCAGTGGCCAATCGACTGTAATCTCCATAGATCAACAGAGAAGCAGAGGATTATAGAAACAAAACCAGAACATAAACCAAACCAGTTATGATGATAATAGAATGTGGTCTCTGGTTGTGTTAGTATGCTTGGGCAAACATGCATTTCTGAGAAAAAAAATACAAGAACATATGATAAAATTAATATTTACGGTTTATGCAGTAGCACAGTTTCTCTCCAAGGTTTACACACTCCTTGTTGGTCTTGGTGACATAAAGTGAAAGTTAAATATGGAAATTCACCAGAGGAAATTGAAATGGAAAAAAAACAAATAAAAGCTTCCAATGACATATTTGCATACATGTACACATTTTTAACCAAATACTTTGTCGGAGCACCTGCTGATTCAGATTCAGGATTCAGGCTTTTTGACTCAAAAGCTGTCATTAAATACAGTGAATGTGAAGGAGTTCAAATTGAAATTAGATGTTCTCTAAGGAGTTTACTTACACATACAGGCTAAGCCAGACTCTAGAGCTAAATCTGACCGACAATATGAAGGGTCACTCGAAAAGAGCCGGGACCACTGAGCAGATATCTTCACATTTTTCGATAAAAAGAGAAGCACAGCGAGACAGGGTGAGCAAGTGTTGTTAAATCAAAATGTGGAATGCAGGTAGACTCCAAAAGAAGATTAGACGCTGAAAATGATTCCAAAAAGTGCTTCAACATTATGTTGACTCATGCCACAATGAATAAGCTAATCCTTATTCACCATGTTATTTATTTATAAATTTCTTTTAACAGATTTGCTTTGCAGATCTGCTGGAGGAAAAATCCAGCTGATCTATTTGTAGAAAAAAAAATAACTTATATGGGTCAAACTTTTTTTTTTTTATTTTACACCAAAAAACCCGAGGTGTGTTTTGTAAGCCACTAATTTATACAAGTAAGATTGTTATCATTTAAATGCATTGTGCAATTAAATATACTAGTCTCTCTCTTCACATATATTTAGGCTACAATTTATTTTGATCAAACATTTATTTTATTTTTTGTAAAAAAAAATAAAAATAAAAAAAAATTTGAAATGACGTTCACGTGACAAGAACCTAATCTCAAAAATAAGTACTTTAACATCTAAGCAGTTTTTAATATCTAAGCTTTAATATCTTATTAAAGCTTCACTTTAACCAAGCGGTTACTTTCATATCTAAGCAGTTTTTTGTGCATACCAACACTGGGTTACGTATGTAGCTCAATGCAAGCTGATAAATAACCGCTTCGACACCAATTAGTCAATGACCTTGATACTCCGGGCAAATAATTAAACCCACAGTATCAACCTAAAGGGTTAACAGGAAACCATTTCAGCTACAGTAATATCAAATGTTGCTACATGTTAAGTAAGCTTGTCTCTCGGAATCCTGCACAGTAAAGCTGTAACTGGTATAACAGGTTCAGTGGCGTCCATAAATTAGGACAGTGCGGCACCAGATAGACACAAACTCTTTGGTTTTATCCTGAAGCTGGGCTAAAAAGTAGCCCAGAAGAAGGAAATGCAGATTTTTCAACACAGTAACAATAATGTTAAGTTTAGAAATGTATGTTACCTTAATATTGAAACACCAATATGAATGACGTTTCATGAAACGCCGCCTCGGCCACAGACCTTCCTTGAGTAAACAGATCCCGGCCGGCGGCGCAAGCGTACTAAACGATCATTAGCACAGGCTAACTAATCGAAACAGATGGCTGGAAAAGTCGATGCGAGACGTTAACGGGAATATTTTAAGAGAGACTTACAAAGGTTTTCCAGCCTATCGAACATTTTCACATTTTGTCAGATTACTACAAAATCTGATTAACTTTTTTTTTTCTTGGTTGAGAGCCGGGGGGATTTTAACCGACAACTATGATGCGGAAGGAAATGCATGCATTGTTGTCAGATTCGTTTGCAAATAAAATTCACTGAAAAAAATTAAAATAATTGGCTTTATGAATTTTATTTACTTTGCTACATTTTTCAAGTTTTTTATATTTTTCTTACCTTATTTTGCAGCTCACCACTGCTGAGGCCCTGAAATCAGGTTTGGAGCAACACTCCCCTCTGCTGGAAGTTAAGAAGGTGAAGACGGAAAAGATCTTTGGTCTAATAATGTAAAACGGAGTATTCGTTTTTTTTCCCCCTTACATTTATAACTATTTAATAATGACTAAAGTATAATATAGTATAATATTAATAATAATAATTAATAATAATTATAATAATAAAGTATAATCCAAATCTTGCGATATTCAATTTGACCAATTGTTTAGTAGCACAGACAAAAAACCTGCATCAAATTTGACCTCTGCCTTCTTGTCCAACCTTTTCCTTCCAGTATTGCCCTATATTTTCTCCATCCATCTTCCCATGAACTCCAACTAGTTCCCTTGCCCCTATTTTATCCCTACTTAAGAAAAGCTTCCTCACAGTATAATGTTAATACCAATGTGTCACTAAGTTGACACATAGTGGTTCTTATTGAGGTGCATTGTTAGTTTTCCTTTGTTTTGTTTTTTTGTTTGATGGTTTGTTTGTTGTACTTACAATCCAAAGGATCCCATTAAAGTTTGGGGTTATAATGAGGCAAAAATGTGAAAAAGGTCAAAAGAGTTTGAATACTTCCATTTAGAAGGGCTTCTGAATGGAACCCAGTTACCACATTGTAAACACAATGTTTTCAGTATTGGGTTTTCATCTATTGATGCAGCTCAAGACATGGTTCAAATAAAATCATCCTTTGTGAAGCCTCTCAGTTTTCCTTGATTCTGTTATGAGAGAATGAGTCTGCTTTCTGAGCCCAAGGCCTTACATGTCCATTGCCTTGTATTATGAGTCATATCTAACAGTTGGTCTAAGCCGATTTACTCATAAAAGGTTATAGAAGAAAAGCGATCCTGTCTTTATTTTAACTATGGCACTACCACTAAGAGAACAGATCGCTTGGCTGTTTTTCTAGCTCGATTTAAAACTGTTACTTATTTATGGCTATTTTTACAATCACAAACAGTGAAGATATCAGTTTTATTAGTCAAGTCATTGATAACAATAGTGCATGGTACAGTAAAGAAGGGTCAATGGTTTTGGAAGGTGTGTAAGAGGTTGAAGTTATGCTAACACTCTGCCTCCACACTGCAAATATTTGACTTTTTAGTAAAACGATTTACATTTTTCACCATATACCTTTTGTAAATTAGTCAACTGAAGTAGCCATTTGCTATTGCTGCATTGCTCCTTTAAAGTCTGAGAAGACAGCGAACTACAGGAGATATACATTAGTAATACTTCATTCATTCATGGCAGCTTCACTCAGGAATGTGCTGAAGGTCCAAAATGGACTGGAACAGAGACGGGATAGAGTGACACTCCTTTAGCCCAGCTGCTGTGCTCCCTCTGGCTCCTCTACATGCAAACGGTTCAACTTGTGGATCAGTTTCAAAGCATCTACTTTGAAACCCAATAAATCACTGTTAGATTTAACTTTTAAAAATGAGAGATTTCTCCATTTAATTCATCAAATAGTAAAAAGAAAGAAAGAAAGAAAGAAATTATATATTATGAAAAGGCACAGTGTGAGTATATATAAACAAATGTCACATATATAAACAAATGTCTCACGGCCACTATTTGGACCTGATCAGCTTTGGCATTAAGCTTGTGGGAACTAACAGCCAATCACAGCAAAGGATTTGCACCCCACCTCAAAAGCATTGGTTAACTTATCAACTCCTTACAATGCTATTGAAGCCAGTCAAAAACCAACCCGATTAGCTTTGAAAGAATCACCAGGTTTATGACAGTACTTGTGTCAGTTTATTTGTCTTTTGTTTGTAGTCAGCTAACTACTTATATAACAAATTCCCCTCAGTCTTTCAGTCATACAGTTTATATGCAGGCCTGGCAGGATCACACTTACTCCGTTTGCTCCAGATGAAACCAGTTCGACGCCAGGCGAGCCCAGAGCCCAGAGATGTAAGTTGTGGGTGAAAACTGAGTGTCCTTGAACTTGAGGAAAGACTAACAGGTGTTAACAACCCCTGAAGTCCCGGACCCTTATCTCGTCCTGTTCTGTCAAGTCTCAGCTTGGCCGTACTCTCATGTGACCTTTGACCCGGTTTTTAAATTGAAACTCGTCAGTGTTTATTGTGACGCACACACAGAGCCACCAAAAGTATTTGCACTCCTTGAATATAAGTCCTGTGGGGAAAAAAATACTTTAGTTTGGATAACTTTTTCACTTGATAAATTATCTCCTTTAAAACTTGTATTTTGTATTATTTACTTAGGTTGTCCTTGTTTGATATCAACATTGTGTGATGATCTGAAGCATTTAATCAGGACAAATAATCACGCAGAACAAATCATCTGGGAGCAAAAAAAAAAAATGCAAGTATTGTATCAAAAATATTTTACCCCATAAATCAAAATTTTGCTACCCAGCTTTGATGAAGTCATAATGTGTACACATTGATGTTTTTGCCCATTTTTTGACAAAATAGCTCAACCTCCGTCAATCTTGATAATAAGTATCTGAACAAATTTCAAGTCTTGCTGCAGATTATTTAGTTAATAATTTTCTCATAAACTCTGACCATTTTTCTTCATTCCATGCGAAATAAAAAGCATCCCCACAGCATGACGTTACCACTACCATGCTGTGGGAGACATTTTCAGATTGAGCAGATGTTCAAAGGTTTTGATTTTTGCTAGATAACATAATCAACATTTAAACAGCTCACATATCTTCTTGATGGTCTGCTCTTTGACAGACAGAATAATTGAATATGGTGCACTATAATGTACTCAAATCTTAGCAATAATTGTTTGAAAGTTTGTGTATTCTTTCTATGCACATCAATCTTCTCACTCCTCATATTCAGACTTCAAGCCTGTCTGAACTCTGATATCAGTAATCTTTCAACATGACTAGAACAATCTTGCCGGAGTTAAAAAGAAAACAAAAAAAAAAGTCCCGTTCCCTGTCAGTCATTAACAGGTTTTTTGATGTAAATGCGTAGTCCCTATTTTAGAGGGTGTTTAATGTTTGCATACATAACCAGTGTGGCTCGTCACTGTTTTTGTCCCACAGTAGCAGATAAGAGGCAGGTAAAATCAGACTCTGACAGAGACATGCGATCTTGTGGCGCTTGCTCTCTTTAGGATCGAGCGGGAATTTCACGTCTCCTCTAGTTTTATCTAGTTGAGGTTTGTTATGTTGACCCACACACAACATTGACCTCTGGTTATTTGTATAGTGTTGTTCTCTTTCTGTCCTGAAGCACACTTGATTGTAACAGCTGGAAAGTTACGAAATCACTATTGAAAATCTAAATATCAACATCAAACACTTAAAGTGAGGCTCCTCAAGATTTTTTTTTTTTTTTTTTTTGTAGAATTAGTAGGTCTCACCTTGCGCATAGAATAGAACTATATGTAACATTAATATTTGTAAATGTTTACACAAACATTGCTAAAGTAAATAAATAAAGAAGTGTGTGTAATTTCGATCAGTTGAGAGGTTAGGCTCTGGACCTTCTGAAATGTGACATATTAGTGAAATGTGTTAGTAATAATACCAATAAGTAAAGGCAAGCAGACTCATGATATTTAAGTTTGTCTGATAAACTGGCTAGATAAAAAAAAAAACAGATGCTAATAAGACTCTATCAAATATTGCCGTTATTAGCTATGATCAATTATGTTCAAGTGTTAATGTCACACATGACTAGCATTAGCATGTAAAGGGCTAATGTTCTCTTTAGTGAGCAAACTAGTTCTCTTGTCTATGCATTGTTTATGTAAATAAAATTTAAATCACAGGTAGCTTTTATTCACAAAAATATTTTTTCTTACATCTGTGGGCCCTAAAAGCCATAAAGAAAGTGTTGAATTTTATTCTCTCGAGATAACTATTTAAAATTCCCCTCTCATTTCACACGGCCATCCACAACTGAAATTGAAGCCAGATGATGGAAAAATAGAGGAAGATCTCTGTTTAAGCTGCAGTCGAGAGGGATCAGCTACGGTGCCTTGCAAAAGTCTTCAAAACTCCTTGAACTTTTTCACATTGTTACATCTACAAGCTTCAGTGTATCACTGTATTAATAGACCAACAAATAGCGGTGAATAAATTGTGAAGGAAGTTGAAGGAAAACTGAGGATTTTTGCATTTTTATGAAAAAATAAATAAAATAGGTTTCATCCCCTCAGTGAATGCTTTGCTACAGTTAAACAGAACAGTCTTTGCCGTTTACAACAGGTTTTCTTCCAGGGTTGCCCTGTATTTATTCTTATAAACAGTGCAATTTGGTGCACCAAAGTTTGAGGATATTAGAGTTAAGTGAGCTGAGAGCAGGGCTTACACGAAGATGTTCATTTAAAAGTCATCTTTTAAAACCATGCTTTCAGCAAAGTAACTAACCTAAATTTACTTATGCATGTGGTATTATGCCCAGTATTTGTTTTTTTGTTTTTTGTTTTTTTTGTTTTTTATTTGGAAAGAGAATTATAGAGCATCATTTAAAATATAAATATCAAAAACTTGAAAATTGTGTTTCAGCTCTGTTTTAAGAAGTTAGCAATTATTAATCGTAGCCAGTAATTAAGTTTGGAGCAAACAGTCCTGCGTTGTCCAGAAGCTGTTTTCTGTCCAATCCCAG